TGTAAGTACGTAAGTTCCCTTCGTTAATTAGTTCTGCCCTTTATAATTTTTTTGTCTATAAGATCTTTGAAGTACTAATGCTTAGTGCATATTTATAGTATTCTAAGGGTCACCTTGAAACAATCACAAATCTTCATTATTAAGAGGTTACAAAAGGTACCTTTACACTTCATTAACCTCTTTGTCTAACTATTAGAACAATGTTAACGTGGTTTTAATATTTCCATCTATGTAAACCATAAAAACTGTTTTCATGTATAAAGAATCAAAGTTTATGTAGATATTTTAATTAGAAAACTCACTACATACACCACCTATTTTCGAGAAAAATAGAGTTGGAAATTTCATTACTTTTATGATGAAAAATTGACATTGTATTCTAAATATTTCAAACTTACTTTAAAATCTGCATTGTGTATAAAAATCAAAAATTCTTTACACAGATCAAATTTTTTTAGAACTTCTACAATAGTTAAAACATCTATATTTTAAAATAATAGAATGAATTTTTTTTTATCTTCTTTATACTTTAAGTGAATTAAACAATTAGTAACCTTGATTAACAACAAAAATCAACAGAAAAAGAGTAAAGAACACATATATATAGGCAAAACATTTTTTCTGAGAAGACGCAGTCCTTGAAAATTAAACATAAAGCAGGTTTTTATATTGAAAAAACGCAATTCTTGAGAAAATGGTTATATCGAAAAGACGTAACTGTTGGTTAAACCGTTATATAGAAAAGACGCAGTCATTGACAAAACGGTTATATTGAAAAGACGCAATTTTTGGAAATAACCATTAAAATTAACTATTAAATGATTTTTTATAAAAAGATACGTACAATCCAAATTTTTTTTTTCTTTTGCTATTATATATAGATTAACAATCAAAACTGCCATTATATTAAACCAAAAAGAAGCCATAATTTGCCGTACGTGTAAGACCATTGTCTTCTTTCTTTCAAGTTAGTTGTGTTAATTTATTCATTCCATTATGATTTTTTTTTGGTACTTTTGAATTCTTTATCGTAGATTTTTTTTTTTTGTTTTCCCTAAATATTGAGCAAAAAAAAGTGGCCACCGGAAGAAAAAAAAATAGTGGTGAAGGAGGTAGTTGCCGTCAATTAGTGATCTAA